TTATTAAGCTAAATTGGTTTAATATTAATGCAACATATAATTCTAAAATATTTGTGATCAATTGAATTAAATAACAAGATTAAAAAGGAACCTAAACCGGTTGTCCAAATTATCTTATTAGGCGTGATTTTCAATTACATATTCCCTTTAAACATGCAATGTGGTGATCATTATAACAATAGAATAAACATTAGTATTGGAAGCAATTTAATAATAATAGCGTTAGTCAAATCAAATATAAAATAACCCTAATCATGATACTAGCAACAAGAATAAAAATAAGAGTAATTAAGTGAATCAATTACTCACTTTCCGCGTTTCCTTGAATTGCTACATCATGAATAAACCTTTAATAACTTCAATATATAAATCAAATTAAAATAAATTAAGTAAAGGTAGATTTGATTTGGTCCAAACCCTCAATTAATTATACCCTTCAGGCCTTGGTTTAAGTATAGAACTTCAGGTAAAGTATGGACTCCTTGAGTGCTTAGGGGAAGTATTTTGAGAGAATAGGGTGGTTAGTGTTTAGGCTAAAGAGAGAGAAGAGAATTATTTGATGCTCAAGATTATTTTTTATTGGAAAAGGGTGATATGACCTCTATTTATAGAGAAAAAAAAGAAGGGTCGAAGAATTAAGATAAGATCCGAATTAAATCGAAATAAAACTCGATAGACAGCAATTTTTGAGGTTTTTGTTTTTATCATATATTTTGATCAAGAAATCATAATAAAATGAATAAAATATAGTTGGAAAGCTCTTGAAGTCTACTTTCTAACCCAATTAGAATCAGATTAAAATATTTTATAGAATAAAAGATATGGCCGAAATAGTGAGATGGTGTCAGTTTTGGATAGAGTTTGACATTTTATTCATATCTTTTCCGTTATAGCTCAGAATTGATATTATAATATATCATTGGAAATATAATTTCAAGGGATATCCAACCATATAAAATTTATATAAAAAATATGAGGCACGAAAATAATATCTGTCTATCTTTGAATGTCTTTCAATTCGGATAGAATTAGGACTTAAAAAAAAAGGAGTTTTATTCAATTTCAAACTCTTTAATCTTATCTTTTTAAACCGGATAATTAGGATCTTTTAGAAACTTATAGAAGCTTCTAATTAATCCTAATTGGTTTAGGAATGGGATTAAATAATTTTGACCCTCCACATGATCATGTGGTCGTAGGTAAGGTGGGCTTAGGTTCGGTTTGGGCTTAGTTTAATATTTTGGTCATAACTTATTCGTTATAACTCGGATTTGAGCTTATAATATATCGTTGGAAAGCTATTTTCAAGCCCCATCCAATTATTAAATAATTGGACCCATATTATGGACCAAAATAAACTGAATTAAACGTTTTTATAAAGAGAACATGAAATGAATGATTTTAAAGGACACGAAATGAATTATTTTGGGTTTAAAGGCACGAAAAGAGGAAATAAGTTGTGGTTTGGGGAAATGGGCTAGAAGTTGGGTTGGTTTATGAAATGGAAATATGGATTTAAGCACTCCAATATTAAATACTCAACCCGACCAATAATGGCGGTGAAATGTTGTTCATCATCGGGTTTGGTTTTGGGGAGACATTTTTAGGTGTCTACCTGAACCAAAAGCAACATTTCTTTTCATCAATACTTTAATTTACACTTTGCATATATACATAAAGCAAACGAAATTCAAAAATGAAATGAAAAGACAACATGATAAGCAACGATAAACATAGATAGATAAAATCCTCACATAGGGGATACTTTTAGCTTCACGGACCAAAGGGACCGAAATCAGTCTTGAACTTGGCATACTCAGGGGTGGTCGGGTTATACTCCGGTGATGCACAAGTAGGGTTGTATTCCGGTGATGGAATCACCATATTCCCCTCATCATCACTGAAGTGATACCCATTCCAACTGGGAGAGCCCTCAGACCTAGCAGGAGCGTCGTCCTCGCTCTCATCCTTAGAGTCTTCAAGGTTGACCACCTCCATGGCCTTGGTCGCCACTTTGATGAGGTTGGCCGCTTGCGCCAACTTCTTAGTCCTTCCCTTGGGCAAAGCATCCCACTCGCTTCCTTGCACCGGAGGGTCCTCAATCCAACCACCAGCATGAGTAACAAGAGCATTGTAAGGAACAATGTTAGTCACCGAGGCCACCTCCAACTTCGGAGAGGGGATTTGTGAGATGAAGTTATTGCTAAAATCCCACACGCGGTGGCACCACTGCTCCATGACTTCCGCTTGGCGGTCGTCCATAGAGAACATTTCCCCAGCCTTCACTTGATTCCACCAAGTGGACCACAGATCCTCAAGGTTAAACCCAAGCTTCTCGCGATTTTCCTTCATGAGGGCTTTTAACTGGCTAAGAGATAGCCATGGGTCACTCGAATGCAGCACCTCGCCTGCAAGATCCCCCAAGTAGGTCATGACCTTGGCATATAGGGGATCCTCATCCAAGATGTCTTCTAGCTCTTTCGAGGGTTGAGGGGTGTTTATCCTCGGGGGAGGCACACAACCACTCGACTCTCCAGAAGCAGCATGTAGAGGTCGGGGAGCAATTGGACTAACTGACACGCCCTTAGGGATGTCTCTTGTGAAGGTCAGTTTCCTAGCCGTCGGATTCGATACTGACCATGATTTCTTCTCTGATCGAGAGAGAGGAGGTCTCATCTTGTTTCTTTGCTTAAGTTAAACTCGCCTTTCCGGCAGGTTGGACCAAATTGTCACGGGATTATTTGTGGACTAGTTTTTTTTTTCCTAAGTTAGGGACCAAAGAGGTTCCCGTGATGGCGTCTAGACCAAGTCTAAACAAGCCTACAACACTTAAGCACTTAAAGAAGGAACACACACAAGATAAGAGGCAAGCAACGACTTAAACACTTTATTGATTTCGTGGCTTACAAACTATAAGAGTTTCTCTCTCTAGAATCTCTCTCTAGAACTCCTAAAAATCGATGCCAAGAAAATGAATTCCTTGGCCTATTTATAGGCACTCACTACAGCCCAGTCAGATAGGATAGCTGTCCACTATGCCCACTACACCCATAATCTTGTAGCTACCCACTACTTCGATGCTTACTTTGATGAATCTGGACATGTCCACGTAGTAAAGGTGGTTATCCACGTTCAGCATGATGTTGTAACTGCCTGGGTAACCGTCACATCCCACTGCGCCATGCTCCTACATTTTAGAAACATGCATCAATGTGCTTATGTGGCACTTCAACTGCCTGGCCAGTGTAACCGCCCGATCAACGTAACCGCCCACTCCCTTAGTGCTCCTATTTTCAAGGGCCACTAAGTGAGTGGGGTAACTTCCACATGACGTGGCTTAATCCCTTTGGAATAACTACCCACGTCCATGGTTACACCCCACCACTCCTGGCTGCTCCTATTTTATAGGAACCGCCTTCTGGTGTGGCTTAACCGCGTTCCCGATTGACCACGTCAAGGTCATTGTAACACCCCAATAATTCTCTCTTAAAAACATGTGAGAAACCTGTATATAACCTGAACAATTTCAAGAGAATTACTGGTGTGCTACCGCCACGTGTTCAAACATTAAGGCTATCTCAAAAATTTGCAGCGGAAAACCAAAACAGTTTTAAATAAACCTCAAAACAAAGGAATTAAATCAAAATAAGTATTACAAGTTGGAACCATTAAGGCCCTTATTCAAAACCCAATAAAAGTAGTAAGTGATTAAATTCAGTGTTCAAATAAATTCAAATCCAAAAGAATTAGTGTCAACTAAAATCGAATTAAAATAAATTCAAACTTGCAAAAGAAATAATATGCAAACAACCAACTCTCTACTCAAGATCCCACAACCCTGATGAATGCAGCATGTGTAAGAACCTGTGGTTATTCTGCTCCCCAATATTACAAGTGTAAAAATTGGATCGTCACAGGGTCATTGAAAGGCAAAGGCCATGACCAAAGAAAGACACACACAAAAGCACGCAGTCAGCAAAGCTGAGTACATACAAGCTGCGAAAACAAATCAAGAAAATACCTAACATGCTACTAATATTCAAGCACAAGCATCATTAAATATAGACTCAATTCATGACTCGATTATTAAATTTGTTAAGACCTCACTAATTAATATTAACTGACTCATTTATTTATTTCATTGGATTTAGCAATAGACAAGGTTGTCCACCCATGTCCCATTTGGAACATCAGTAAAGAAAAACCCCATGCCTCCTTTCGGAAACATCAATAAACATCCAACGACCTCGGGAGCGACTCCGTGACCGTAGTTAGTATGAGATCTCACCTAACTCCTAGTTTTAGAAAAATAATATTTGAAATAGGAGACTCGTAGATCAGATGGCCTCGATAAAAGTACACGGCTAATACCCCATGTACCCCAACCCCTGATTGTCATTACTCCAGATGTGCACCATTCCAGAGTTTTATTGCTCATCCATCTTGCACTTTACGTGATTTACAGGTTTAGACTTGGTGATGACTCATACACATATCAATACAAACATCCCAAAAGCAATTCAATCAAACATGCACTACTACAAAAGGCATGCTTTTTAGACGCTTTTTAGCCTTCTTTTCGACACTAAAAAGCGTCGCAAAATTTTTTTCTCGACGCTTATAAAAAGCGTCGAGAATAAGTGAATCGAGAATTTTGTTGGACATCAAAAAGCGTCGCGAATGTCAACGCTTTATCGTGTCTAAATTTTTATACGAAGCGTCGCAACTCGCAACAGTTGGCGCACTTTCTTAACTTTGGCGATGCTTTTTGTAGTCAAGAATTTTAGGATTGGTGACGTTTTTCTATGTCCAGATTTTCATACATTTGTTATCTAACATTTTGGCGACGCTTTTTCCTGTCCATATTTTCTAATTTAGGGAAGCTTTATCTTGTCCATATTCTTTGTAAAAAATATCAAAAATAATAAAATAAAATATTTCATTCACTGACAATGATTTCTAGTATACTAATATATATTACCCAAAAAAATTAAGAAGTACAACAAAATTATACCAAAATTTTTATATTGCATACATAAATATAGTATAGCATATATACAAATCTCATAGTACTGAGTTTCTATTACAACAATTATAATTGAAATTTAGAATTCGTTCGTGACTAGTTGTAGTGGAACAAATTCCGAATCACTAATTGAAATCTTTAAAGAGCTTAAATATATATTTCTTCCGTCCTTGAAATATTGCTTATTAGTTGTCAGCCTTTTTTTACCGTTTCTCAGTATTCATACATGGATGTCTACATAATCTTTTGACCCTGCAACACATTAAAGCATATGATCGATCAATACTAGGGAGCCATCTCTCTTCCTCCCTAAGTTCACATTCTGTAGCCAAAGCCTCCAAATCCCTACATAGCGTTAAAAACTAATAAGCTAAGAAGCCAGTAAATTTATGATGGCCTTCAAATTTACACCATTTATTCCATTTGTCTTCACAACATAAAACACAAGAGTGACAAGTAAGAAGCTCAGAAAAGAAACATAATAAGCTCAAGACATAAAAGACCAAGAAAATTTAAAACTTAAAATAATCAAGGAAGCATAAGCATAATTGCAGAAATCGACACAGTGAAAGAGGACAGAGCAACAAAAGGCCAATATTTGTATAATAAACATGAAGATAGTTTATAATTTATAATCATTCAAGGATCAAAGCAACAGCAAATAAAAGCTGCTAGTGGACCAAGACTATAATCATATTGTACTAAAAATACAAAATCTAAAATACAACAAAAAACCATTAATAACTAAAAAAAATGAAGGAATAAAAAGCATTGCAAGGCTAAAGAAACCAAGTTTTCATGTGTACCTTGATGTTAGGAACTAACTTAAAAATTTGATCTCCAACCCTGCATCCATTTAAACTTCAAACAGTAGCTTCGTCAACATTGTATAGAACCGAAACATCGAAAATATCCAAGTCCTGCAACAATGCTCATTTTAATTATCATGTTGGAGTCACACTATTAATAATTATAACTTACAGGAAAAGAAAACAATCACAATACTACCAATGTACAATTATCCAGCCATATATATAATAGATCCTCTAAGTACACAATAGGAGATCAAATGTTACTAGAAGAAAGAAGATGCAACTAGTATTGGAATAGGATACTATAACTAACTACCCCAAAAGAGACATTGCTACTGCCCTTTGCCAAAAAAAAAAAAAATGCAGTCCCGCAAGATATTATGCAATTACATGATACAAACTTCAACAGTGCTGACTACAAAATAAGGGGGATGGCATCAAAACAAGCACTACCTCATCATTTTTAACTCCTTAAGCAAAAGCATGAGGACAACTAAAAAGGATAGAAAAAATATACTTCACAATAAGAGCCATGTAAAAGAAAATTAAACCAATTAAAGTGAGAAAAAATCAAAGTACTACTTACTTCAGGAACAACCAAGACGGAAACACTAGCATAAAGAAGATCAATAGAGATCCCATCAAACTTAAATTTCATCACTGGTACATGCGCATCAGGAATTGGTTGAAGCTCGCTCACTTCCACCAATTGTGCCAGAATATCATGGAAAATGCAAAAGAAATCCTCCTATTGAGCACAAGGTAGAAAAACAATAAGAAGCTAAAACCCGGAGCAAATTCAATGAAATTGAACAAATCGCACAAATTGAATAAGTAATACAAAAATAACCCCTTTCTGAAAGCATACTTTAATAAATCACAACAAGAAACTGATACCATAAATCATCATAGCAAACCAAAACAAGACACGTTAAAAAAACTATGAAACCATCAGTTATCGCAATAAACGACATCAAAAATCTCTGAAAAGAAGTATCAGAAAAAACAGACAAAGATTACTTCAAGAATCTATAACTTGAGTTTTAATCAACAATTCATAATCAATCTCCTCAAATGCAGATTCACCACACAGATATTAATCAATAGCAGCAATCTAAAAATGGTTTCACCAAAGCATAAAATCTTTGATTTCTTACCCCCGACGGCAAGATCCAAAAGTGAGCATCAATTCATTAGCATCCTCAATCATTTGATCTGTATACCCTCTTAGTCGAGTAAGTTGTTTCATCCAATCTTTAACAAGCTGAGAAGTAGAAGTATGAATTAATACTCGGAATTCATAAATTAACATGATATCAGAGAGTTATGAAATAGGAGACGACACAATATCGTGTAAAGAAAAGGCAAATAAAACAAGTGTAGATAAATTCACATATAGTAATGAATGCCATCCAAAAAAAAATTTCTTTGAGTCTCTTACAATCCTCACCACACAGGTCATGCAAGAAAGTGAAGGCATAAAAGAAAGAAAACCATCATACCCTTGTTGTCGTCAATAGTAAAATAATACTATAAAAAAACAATCTTAATCCTAAATCGCAATCATTATTGAGTTGAATGCTTGGTGATATGATAGTCCAATAGAGTTCAAGAAGAACTCTACCAATACAGACACAATCTTAATCTTGATTGAGATAAATGATTGGTAATATATATCTAATCCAACAGAGTTCAAGAAGATCTCTACAGCTTCTGGTGGCAACAAACTTTAGTACCTTGACATTAACATGGAAATAATCTGTCTCTGGCCATTCACCAGAGCAAATCCAACGACCGATAAAAGGAATCACATTGGAAAGATAATTAAAGAGCTAACGACCACATTAAAGGTAAGCTCTTCTAAATTATTACATATTAAACAAATTATAGATGTTTCACCACAAAACATCCTAGTAGAAAAGGGGTAGAAGAAAATGGAACCCAACTTCCCAAATGCTTTGATATTTCACCAGAATACAAATTTCTTGGTGTTTCACTATCCCAAAGAGTAGTTCTGCCCATACTTTCAACTACTCGGAATGAAAGAAATAATTTTTTTTTTTGCTTTCCATATATAGGAGCAGTTTCACTGTCAATAAATTAGGCACCTGGATGAAGTGCAATGCTTATAAAACATATCCAAATCATTTATAATAGCACTAGAAGTAGCATACACTGGACTAGAAAAGTAGAATTTCATACACCTATTGGAGATTATTCTACCAAAATTCAAACTAGCAGTTTAGACGAAGAGATAGATGTATTAATAGATCAAAGTGATTGATTCAATACAAGATAATTCCCACTCTATGAGAGATGAGATCTCCCAATACTCTTAGTTGCCTTCTAGCATAAGTGAGCTTAACATAGCATAAGTGAGCACAACATAGCATAAGTGAGCACAACAGAACACCTGACTAAATTCCTAACAGACATGTATCTAACAGCAAGAAACGATGTTATAAGATCAAAGTTAAACTTTCCAAGACAATAATGTTTGCAATATAACAAAGTATATTGTTGGTCTGGAATGGCAGGCAGATCTATACCATCCCACCAACAGATCCATATAGTCACCTATTATTTCACCAACAAAAGTTTCCAAAATTCTAATTCTACATTGTGAGTAACCAAGTGAAAATTATCTTATTACAGCTGGAATTTTTTGTTCAGCATAACTTCATATTAAATTTCAATCATTACAGACAAATGTGATGTGCACCAGAAATCTCATGGAAAATCCTGTAAAATTAATAGTTAACATGCAAACTACACCGTCTTATTTTTTATCATTAATCAAGAATCAACATAATGCATTCAGCCACGAAATTCAACAAAATTAAGCTATACATATTCAAAATTGGTAGAATAAGCATATAATAATGAGAAATTGGAAAAACCCAAAACATTCGTTAAATAGGTTGCCTAGGTTATAGCGAAGCAGATTAAAATTAGGCAAAATTAAAAGGGAAAATTAAGCTAAACTAAACAATTAATGAAAAAACCTTTACCTTAGGCTGAGAAAATTCAGAAAATCCAAACAAACAAGCCATATAAATCGCCATAAAACAAACAAACGACCCATTTTTTTTTAAGAAAAAGGAAAATTTGTGGAACTTAAAAGCACGAATTATGATCTGAAAAACATTTATGTATCTAATTAAGTGTAGAAAATTACCTGATGCGCCGTCAATGAATTCTTTTAAGTATCGGTATGGCGATGCTTGTTTTCTTTAAATTCAAAACCGTAAAAGGCCAAAGATTTTCCGATCGATTTCAACCAGAGATTAAAGAAAATTCATGAGAAATTCGAACATTATACTATACCCTAGATGAATCGAACCAGAGATTAAGGAAAAGCAAGAAACTTTACCTATATTAATCGATGAAATTGACAAGTTGGTGAAGAAAATTTCCACAATTTCCAGAACGAATTTAAACTGAGTGATGAATTAATCGGGGATTATTTTAGATTTTGGAATGAATTTGAGTGGAGAACAAATAGATAGATGAGGCGTAGCAAGTTAGAAACTCAGATGATCTGACCTAGGCGGTTTAACTCGAGGGAAACGTGCGGGTCATGTGAATTTGTCGACGCTTTTTAGTGTCCATAGATTACTTCGACTTGGAAAAGCGTCGACAATAAGCGGAATATAAATTCGTACGTTAACGCTAGTACCACGGCGTCGAGGTAAAAGCGTCCATAAAATACGGAAATTGTAGTAGTGATGGCAAATTCTCAATTTAGATTCTTTATTTATTAGTGACAAACAACATTTATTAATTATTTCATTACTACCTCGGTGTATAAACACCTTGAGTGTATAAGGCACCCCAAAACCTTAACCTCGTCTTATAAGACTTGAATTTCTCCTTTACTCATCCTGTTTACATAATCATGAACGAGTAATAATTTGATCTTTACACCAATCACATACCTTTGCCTTTAAGCGCACCTTGCATAATTAAAGCACAAATAATACTTGCATTATAAACTAGTGCACATCATTTGAAATTCACAATGTATAACCAGACAATTTAACCCAGTCAATCCTATACATGATACTAAGTTCTCGATCCGTCCTTAAACATGCACCTACAAGCAAGGTTTCGTATCTTGTACGTACATTGTGTAAACAATCCAGTTGACCACTTTAAAACTAGAAGTCGCCTTCTACAAAGTTCTCTCCTAAACCAAACAATTAGAAATAAATCAATACCAAAGCAATTAAAATTACAGCAATATTAAACTACTTTAAAACCTCTTAAATCACCAAAATAAAGCCTTTAAATTGTCCCCAAAAATCAAAGTTAGTAATATAACATCCCAACTTTAAGTTTATATGTTAGAATTATGAAAATATAGTGTTTTATATCAAATTACAGCAACTTTAAAGTGGGTAAATAAATCTGAAAATTTGTTTTAAATATATAAAATAACCCCATAAGCATAATTACTTGAATTAGTCATTATATAGCAAGTTAGTGTGTTAAAAACCCAAGAATATATCAATTCAATGCAATTAGAGGCTTCAAAATAAAAGGTATGAAATCTGAAAATTATTTTTAAAGTTAGAATATAAAGTTCAAAGCTTTTTCAATCACAAAATACTCACAATAATTATTTTATAGGTTTAGAAGCATAAAAACATGAAATTAACACTACTTGTTCATAAAAATTGAAACTTTAATAAATCTGAAAATTTATTTATGATTAAGATAATTGTATTTTAATGTAATTTAAACATAGTATGATTAGATGACTTGATTAACACATTATCAAGCCCTAAAACATGAAAAATCAATACTTTAAACCCTAAATTCATACATATACCAAATCTGAAATTTTATTTAATACTTTAGACATACAAAACCCATAAATTATTATCTTTTGTAATTTATACATACTATTAGAGCCTAATAACAATGATTTTATAATTGAAATCAAATAAAAATTGAATCTTTAATCAAAATAACAAGAAATAAAGAAAAGAGAAATAAGAGGAAGGAGAAGAGAGGAGAGCGAACTGCAATGGTCGCCGGCTGTGCTGGGCGGCGCGGCGATCAGGCGGGCGCGGCGGCAGGGCAGCTTCGAGTTTTTTTTTCCTTGTGGTGTCATACGTGAGAGCAGGGGAAAGGAGGAGAAGAATGAAAGCTCTTTTTTTTTTTTTTTTTTTTTTTTTTTTTTACGTGAGAAGGGGGAGAAGGGTAAGGGTTTTTGAGGGTTTTATTTGGGCTTTGGGTTTCCTAAGTAGATTAGGAGTAATATTTGGGTTTTGGGCTATAATGTTAAAATTGTTTGTTAGTAAAAACATGTTAGTTTACTTAAATCATTTCATAAAAAATAACTTATTTAATGAAACTGACATAAAAATATTTGTAGGACTAATATATAAATAAATTATAATTAAGTTAAAAATATGGGGGATTACAATCTACCCCTCTTAAAAGAAATTTCGCCCTCGAAACTTTACCTAAAATCCATAGTTCCTCAAAAGTATTCAAACTTATGCATTTTGTATTGTTGTAAATTGCTTGCTTCTTAACAAACATACTTAACAAATCGAACTTTGTACTCAATGAACTCATATTTGGCCAAAGTTTACATACTTTTATTGTATGTAAACGCAATAATAATGCATAATGATAACCAAAATCATGCAAAAACGTGCAAAATCAAGCAATAAATGGTATCATTGAGGTTAAAGCGCGAAATTACATCGCATTCTTCCCCTCTCAAAAGAAAAGAGTTACGCCCTCGTAACTCACCTCGTCAAACAACTCGGGATATTTGTTTTTCATCTCTTCCTCGGCCTCCCAAGTAGCCTCTTCGTACTCTTGGTTTGACCAAAGGACTTTCACTATCTTCACATCTTTGTTTCTAGTACTACGCACCTTGTGGTCTAGTATCTTGACTGGTCTTTCTTCATAAGTTAGAGACTCATCTAGTTGAATAGTCTCCGGCTGCAAAACATGGGTTTCACTAGGCACATACTTTTTCAGTTGGGAAATGTGGAATTCATCATGCATTTTCTCGAACTCCATTGGCAAGGCCAATTTGTAAGCCACTTTCCCCACACGTTGGAGAATTTCATACGGACCCACATATTTTGCACTAAGCTTCCCTTTCTTGCCGAATCGCATCACACCTTTTGTTGGAGAAACCTTTAGAAATACTTTGTCCCCAACATTAAACTCATCATCTCTCCTCTTCAAGTCAGCATAACTCTTCTGTCTATCTTGTGCTGCCTTGATACGCGACTGGATTAGTCTCACCTTGCCCACCATATCCTCAATGAAATCTGTACCCAAAGTAACCCGTTCACTGTAATCATTCCAGCAAACTAGGCTTCTGCACTTCCTTCCATACAGTGCTTCAAAAGGTGCCATCTTGATGCTTGCATGGTAACTGTTATTATAGGAGAATTCGATCAAAGGTAGGTGATCCTCCCAATTTCCTTGGAAATATAAAGCACAAGCTCGCAACATGTCCTCCATGGTTTGGTTTGTTCTCTCAGTCTGACCATCGGTTGCAGGATGAAAGGCAGTACTCATCTTCAATGTTGTCCCAAGGTTCTCTTGCACTTTTTGCCAAAACTTTGATAGAAACCTCGAGTCTCTATCTGACACTATGTCCTTGAGAACTCCGTGCAACCGAACTACATTCTTCGCATAGACGCTTGCTAGCTGCTTCTTTTTCCAGGTTTCTTTGATAGGAATGAACATCGCTGACTTAGTAAGTATGTCTACAATCACCTAAATTGTGTCATTCCCAGTACGAGTCTTTGGTAAGCCTGTCACAAATTCCATGGATATGGAATCCCACTTCCAACCTGGTATTTCTAATGGTTGTACCTTTCCCATGGGTCTTTTGTGGTCCATCTTCACTTTCTGGCACGTCAGACATTTGGATACAAACTCAGCCACTTCTCTCTTTATATTCGGCCACCAATAGAACTCCTTCAAATCCTTATACAACTTATCGCCCCCAGGGTAAACTGAATATGGTGTATTATGGCACTCCTCCATGATTTTCCTTTTAATATCCTCACACTTCTGTGGTATGCACCATCTCTCCTTGTATCTAGCTCCCATCCTCATGAATCTTGAATTCAGTCTCCGCACCACTAGTCACACGATCCCTAATCTTCTGAAACGACTCATCCTCCAGTTGCTTTTCTTTAATCTCCTCAAATATGGAAGGTTGGATGGTTAAAGCACCCAGTAATCCTTCTAACTCTTCTTTGTTGATAACCTCAAGGTTCAATCTCCTCATATCTTCACACAACTCATTGGCCACAACCAAAGCATTGACATTATTACTCGACTTTCTGCTAAGGGCATCCGCAACTACATTCGCCTTTCCTTCGTGATATTGGATGTGGACATGGTAGTCTGTAAGATACTCCAACCATCTACGTTGCCGCATGTTCAAGTGATCTTGGGTAAAGATGTACTTTAGACTTTTATGGTCCGTGAAGATCTTACAAGAAACACCGTAAAGGTAGTGCCTCTAAATCTTCAAAGAGAATACAACAGCTGCAAGTTCCAAGTCATGGGTAGGGTAGTTGTCTTCATGTTTCTTCAGTTGTCTCGATGCGTATGCGATCACCCTTCCATTCTGTTATAGGATACATCCCAGACCATGCTTCGAGGCATCACTATACACTTCGAATCCTTCTATCCCATCAAGTAATACCAGCACTGGTGCAGTGGTCAATCGCTCTTTGAGGGTTTGAAAAGCAGACTCATAACTCTCGTTCCACTCAAACTTGCTCTGCTTCTTCATAAGAGTAGTCATGGGTCTGGCTATCCTCAAAAAATCCTTGACAAACCTTCTATAATATCCAGCTAATCCCAAGAAACTACGAACATCAGTCACATTCTTAGGTGTAGGCCACTCACTCACCGCCTTGATCTTCGCAGGATCTACGGATACACCCTCCTTCGAAATGTAATGCCCTAAAAATGACACTTTCTCCAACCAGAACTCACACTTGGAAAACTTAGCATACAACTTGTTCTTTCTAAGAGTTTCAAGGGTAGTTCTCAAGTGCTCAGCATGTTCTTCCTCATTCTTCGAATACACCAAAATGTCATCAATAAACACAACTACAAACTTATCCAAATACTCATGAAACACTCGGTTCATCAAGTCCATAAATATGGCTGGTGCATTGGTTAACCCAAAAGGCATGATTGTAAACTCGTAATGTCCATACCAAGTTCTAAAGGCTGTTTTTGGAATGTCTTTATCTGCAACCTTCAACTGATGGTACCCTGACCTCAAGTCAATCTTCGAAAACACGCTTGCCCCCTTCAGTTGGTCAAACAAGTCATCTATCCTAGGTAGAGGGTACTTATTTTTTACAGTCACATTATTCAACTCTCTATAATCAATACATAGCCTCAAACTTCCATCCTTCTTTTTCACAAATAGCACAGGTGCTCCCTAAGGTGATGCACTGGGCCTAATGAACCCCTTGTCTAACAACTCCTGCAATTGAGCCTTTAGTTCACTCATCTCAGCCGGTGCCATTCTATACGGTGCTTTGGAGATAGGTGCAGCTCCTGGAACTAAGTCAATGGTAAGCTCAACTTCCCTCTTAGGTGGCATTCCCGAAATCTCTTCTGGAAAGACATCTAAAAACTCATTCACAATGGGCACATCCTCCATCCGCCTATTCTCACTCATACTCAAATCTTGAACACAACAAAAGTACAATGGACATCCCTTATTCACTAGCTT